ATATTTTTAGGATAGCTGGTGGTTCCCAGCTTTGTGAATTTCGCCAAGTAAATTTCTTTTTTTTTTATTTTATTCATTTGAAATTTTGGGAACAGTAGTGTTGCCAACTTTTTAATTTGCAAAGTAAGCACATTAAACAAAACACTGCGATCTTTGCAGGAAATAAAGGACTTTTGTATTCCAAAAAAGTTCACGATTTCAGAATAAAGGTCAGTACTCTAGTGTTTTATTTTTTTTGGGGGGGGGGGACATTTGTCCAAACAAGTCTTTGTCTCTTAATTGGCTCGCACAGCAGGAGCATGGTGGAAGTCAGAGTGTTTTTTTCCATCTCTTACCCAGCTAGGATCCTAGAGGGCCATGAGTGAGTGACGCCCCCTTGAGGGACTCGCTGAAACATAGTATTGAGGGTGGGTTTAGAGGCAGTTGGGAGCAAGAACAGGAACTCTGCTTTAGTGATAGCACTGTGATTTTATTTATTCTGGGAGGCTGCAGAGGCTCAGGGACCCTGAGATAACAGCTGTTTTGCAATTTAGAACACATCCTCTCTTGAACACAGTGTGTGATGAGATTTGGGAATACCGGGCTGGCCCTCAGGAGCCTACTGAACTCACATTAGTGTAAACCTCCCAGTCTTATCTGTGTGTCTGCTGTGCTCTCAGGCTAGCTTGGTGGACATTTGTCCACGCCACACTTCTCTGCGTGGGCCAGAGCTGAGGAAAGGCAGGCATTTTAGGAGTGGGGCTTGGAGGACCAAATGGTTTTTCCAATTGGTGACAATTTTCAGGGCATGAGAAATTCAGGTGTAGCAAGATGGTGGGAGCTGGGCACAGTGTCACACACCTATAATCCCAATGGCTCAGGAGGCTGAGGCAGGAGGATTGTAAGTTCAAAGCCAGCCTCAGCAAAAATGAGGTGCTAAGTAACTCAGTGAGACTCTGTCTCTAAAGTATAAAAAGGGATGTTGCTCAGTGGTTAAGTGCTCCTGGGGAGGGGGAAAAGAGGGTGGGGACAAGGGGAGGGTGTATGGTGGAGTCAGGCTTGGCCATGAGTTGGTCCCAGAACTCAGGTGTATTGACAATGGGAAGTATGTGTGTATGTGTTGCAGGTACAGATCATGATTTCTAAGTGTAGAATTTTCTATATGTATATAAATTTCATGCTTACTTTCAATTCAGCAAGGTAGCAGCAATCCAATTGAGTTCCACCTCATACATTCATCAGATAGACTCATATTAACCCAATTTACAAGACACAGAGAGACAAACTAGGTTCCATATGCATCATAACATAAAGGGAGAGTTATCTGGTGTTACCGCTGTTTACCAGTGATGAGTCCTTGCTTCCCCGAATGCTGAAGTATAACACCAGAGAAGCACGCAGAGGCAAGTGTAGAGTGCAAAGTGGAAGGCTTTATTAAAGGACAGCAGAATTAAAGGACAGAAGTCTTTACTTCTCCCTGGGCAGAATCCATGAAAGGGCGAAGTCTTCCCTTTTTTACAGCTAAGGTCTTCTTTCAGCTTTCCCACACTCATTTCCTTTGTTTCCCTTCATCTTTCAGTGATAGAATGCAGATGGGAAGGCCAAAAGGAGGGCATAGGTGGGCTGAAGGAGTAATCTGAGCAGGAAGGGCCTGGGGTGGTTTTTGGTTAGCACCTCCCTGTTTACTGGGAGCTACTTCATTAACAGTTCCTTAGGATGGGTTCTGGGCCTTGGGGACATTAACATTTCAGTTTCCCCAAGTGCAGCTCTGGTTTCCTGGACTCCATTCTCAATCATGGTCTCCATTTTCTTTACTAAATATTAGACCCAGATTTACCTAACTACACTAACTACCTATCTTTGAATCTGGCTTGTATGATAACTGATCTTGGGCATTTTCAATATTTTAATGAATGAGTTTTTTTTTTTTTTGAGTGAGTGTGTAAGGGTAAAAGAAATTGAAGTTAAAGTGTAAAAGACCGGGTGTTGTAAAGTTTCTAAGCTGCAAAGCCTGAGTTAAAATGTAAAGGACCAGGTATTGTTAAGTTCCTATGCTACACCTAAAACCTGAAATTCCTGTAGCTGTTAGGACAATTCCCAGGACTGCCCAGTAAATATTCCCCCTGACCATCTAGTTGTTTAATAACCTAGGACCCTGTGCAGCTTGGCACGTAGGCATCTCAGGGCCCAAACCAATCAGTTTGAATGTACCCCCTTCTTAGGATTGACCTATCACTCCCTCCCGACCTGTTCCCGCCAATGAATGTACTAATCATGTTCAAGAATTGTTGTTCGATTTTCCCGCGCCTCATGATGATTTGCTCTGATGTATGCAAAGTCCCCGCCCTCCCCAAAAAGTGTACTTAAGCACTGCTTAACCTCTGCTCGGGGCTCTTGGCCGCTCTCACTTCTTGAGTGAGCCTGGAGCCCCAGCGCGCTGGATTGGATCCTCAATAAACCCCCTTTTGCTGTTGCATGAGCCGGTCTCTTGGTGGTCTCTTCCTCCGACGTCGGCCGGACCCTTACAAGTGTCTTTTGGCACATGATAACCATTGTCCTTTTCTCTTGGTTTTTATTCCTGTATGAGAACAGGCCATTTTTTTTGTGTGTGTGCTTATCATATGTTCTAGAGAAGCATTCTTTTGAGGTTCCACATCTTTACCACTCAATATAAATTCATGCCATTGTTCAATTTGCTGGAATGGAGGTTAGCAATCTTTTTCTGTAAAGGGCTAGATAGCAAATATTTTAGGCATTGTGGGCCCTGTAGTCTCTGTTCCAAGTACTCATTTCTGCTGTGGTAGCACAAAGACAGCCATAGAAAATACAGAAAATAACGGCCATGGCTGTGTTCCCATAAACTTCATAGCCCTGAAATTTGAATTTTGTATTAATGTTTTATTTCATAAAATACTTGAGTTTTTGGCAATAATTTTAAAATGTAAAAAGTACTCTTAGCTGGGAGGTTGCACAAAATAGTGGGTGAGCCAGATTTGGTCCACAGATTGCAGTGTGTAACCTGCCCCTGAGCTAGAAGATAGTCCTATCACACATTACTATGGCAGGCATTTGGCTGGTGGGTTCAGTTGTCTCTGATGCACATGTAGCAGAGTTTCGGTTGGGTGTCACACTGCCTGCTGACTGAGATGGCCTCACCTTAGGGGTTGTACTTTCCACAGCATTTACCCATCACAGTCTGAAGGGCTCCTATAGACCATGAAGTGTAGTGGTCCATTAGTAGAAGTCACCACCAAGGTCAGACAGTTAAATAATGGCCCAGGGCATCTAGATTTAGTGGAAAAATTGGGGGCATTTCTACAGTCTGGAATACACAGTAACCACCCACAGTCAACAGTAGCCAATATTTCTTCAGCTGTTACAACAAGTAATAATTCTACCATCATCACTGTGTGCTAGGCTGCCCACTTTTCAGGTCCAGACAGTATTTGTACCACATCTGGTACTAAAGTACAAATTCTTAGCCATTTATTGACTGGGCTTCCTCCTTTTTTGTTGGTGGCAGGAGGACTTCCTCCTTTGATGCTGTGGGCCTGGGACTGGCTTCCTCCTCAACCTCAAGGAACCGCTTAGCTCATTCACCCTCCTTAATTATTGCAGTGATGCATAAGGTCATTGTAAGTAATAAAATATAAAGGTAAATGCCTGAAATGTGCCATGTGTAGAGTGCCAGTTCCGTGACTGCAGCTACTTCTGTTCATTCTCTAGCTCATGTAACAAAATAAACACTGCTTTGAAAATCAGAAGACTGACTCCTTACACACCATTTGGTTTTTTGCAGCCCCAGGATTCAGAGCAATGAATGGAAGCTGAGGAGGCAGGGAGAACCACTGCAGGTCTGGCGGGGCACAGGAAGGCTGCCTAATGGGCATTGGGGGAAAGTGGCAGTAGTCGCTCTGTAAGAAAGATGTGGTCCAGGACCTTCTGTGAACCATAATGGCAGGGACAGGCTCAATGCTGTCACTCCGGAGCACAGTGGCGCTTTCTCTTTGTCCTTGAATGTTACTTGCAGCTGGGGCTCTTCTACAAAGCTTTCACAGAAAGATTGCAGGGGGGCATCTTGCTGTCCGTGGTGGTGTCACAATCTGATTTCTCTCCATCTGGGAGATGATCTCCATCTGCGGGTGTTCATGGGAAAGGACTGCAGTGCGTTTGTTGGTAATGGGGTTTTCCAGATCGATTCTGCAGTTGTGAACTTGCACTTTCAGCGCATTCAGAAAGCCTAGGGAGTGCTGACCCTGGCCCTACACCAAGTCTCCGGAGCACGGGGAGCTCTGCCTCTGGGCCGGTCCCGTTTCCTCTCATCCGCCCTGGCACCCCCGGGCCGCTGCCTGCTGACCGCGGTCAGACACGAAAAAAACGGCACCTTTTCTTTACTTTTGAGACAGGGTTCACTACATCTTCCTTCAGGGAGCAGCGAAAGGCTCTTATGCTCGGTTCTGGAGCGGCGGCTGGAGGGGTCCCCGGGGAACAGTCTTTCTTGGGGAGAACTTCAGGGCCAGAAGGGGAAGAGTCCTGGCCAAGGTCACCGAGCTGGCAGACGCTCCGACAAGTGCACTCAGGCCTGGGGGGAGTCACCGCACACGCCCGCCACGGCAGCCTCCGGCTCTCGGCCTCAGGCGACTTATTACTCCCTGCCCACCCGCCCCTAAGTGCTTTCAATGGCCGGAACCAGGAGGGAAGGGGTGTGCGGGCCGCGCCCCAGAAATCAGACCGCTCCACCCACTGGGAGCCTGCGGCCCCGCCTCCCGGCATTGGCCACGCCCATCGCCCCCGCCCTCAGACTGCGGCCCCGCTACAGAGACCCAAGCCTGGTCCCGCCCCGCCGGCCTTGCCCCTGCCGCGTCGCCCGCAGGCGCCAGCACTCGCGCGTCCCCTTCCCTGGCCCTTCCGGGGCCGCGCAGCGCGCACCGGCTCTGGGCGGGGCCTTGCAGTGGTAGCAGGGCTCCTCCTCCTGCTCCTCCTCGACCTGCCCCTCGGGTCCTCTCGCGCTGTCCTCCTCTCGCGCTGTCCTCCTCTGGGGCCCCTCCGCCTTGTCCCAGCCATGGTGGCCTGGCGCTCGGCGGTCCTTGTCTCCCTCGCTTTCTTCTTGGCTATCCTGGTCCAGAGAGGTAAGGCAGGCGGGGGACGCGTGTGGACCCCGCCCTGGGGGCCCCGGGTCGCTCTGTGCTTGAGCGGCCCGACCCCCGCCTCGCAGGCCTGAGGCTGAGGCACCAGGCTGTGCTGGGCGGAGGTGCGGGGTGCGACCATGCCGGGATCAGTGTAGCTGGAGAGGAAACATGGGGCCTCTCTTGGTGCTGAGCTACAGACCAGGAGATTGGCCTCCGCTAAAATCCTGAACAAGCAGGTGTCACCACTGGTGACAACAGCTGTCCTCATGAGTTTACCTTAGGGAAAGCCTTGGAAAGAGCAGTCATCTTCGAAAAGTGTGTGGGGCCACCTGCAGCAAAAGCACCTGGGGAACTTACTGGGCAGATTCCTATACCTTTGTGTTGGGATTGCGGTGGGGCTGGGGTGGGGGGGGAGGTGGAGGGCGCGACGTGTAGGTATAACCAGCTCCCTAGATGCTTTTGGTATCTGCTTCAGGTTTCAAGCTTTGGTCATATTTTGCCAAGGAAGAGGAGAGAGAAATTTCGCTGAATCAAGGGTGCAAGGTTCTTAGACTCTGTACTACTCAAAGTGTGGGCCAGGGCCCAACCGCATTGGCATCACCAGGGAGATTGTTAGAAATGCAGCATCATATGCCCTGTCCCTGACCCACTGAGTCAGATTCGGTGTTTTATTTAGCTTTTTAACTAGGTCCCTGGATAATTTACAGGCACATTCAAGTTTGAGAAGCATTGTCTTAGAATAAATGCAATCTGTGGTTAAAAATAGGGTCTTAAAACATGTACCAGCAGAATCTTCTTAAACTTATTTATATCCCATCTCCACATCAGAAAAGTGGTCTAAGGGAAACTCTGCAATTTGAGCACTGAATTGTGCTCTGAGCTTCATGAAAATGAAGGTAAATCCAACTAGTGAAAAACATGAGCTCAGAAAAGAAAAGCTTTCACATGGTATTGAGTTCTACTAAAATTTATGTCACATATCAGGAACTCTGGAAAACAGTGGACAGTACTAGCCAATGTAGGTTTGCAAAAGATGCAGAAATGTTTTCATGTGGGTCATCTTCCTGCATTTGATACAAGAAGAGCCATTCAACATTCTTCAAAGATGTCAGGCTTGGTTCTAGGAACTGATGATATAGAAGTGAACAAAACTAAGACTGTCTTCCTGAAGCTGACCTCCATGTTGGAGGGAAAAAAAACAACTACACACATCTGTTCTATAGAATATATTGTTAGTGCTATGAAGAAACATAAAGCAGGTTATAGGGATAAAGTGTTTTAGAATTTTCCCTTTCATTTTCTACTTTGGGAATACAATTTATTCTGTCTAATATGTATTTGTGGAGAAAAGTATACAGTTGTGCCCCTCTTATCCTCGGGAGATACATTTCAAGACTCCCATTGGATGCTTCAAACCATAAATAGTATATACATGGTTCAGTAAACCCTGTATATACCATGTTGTATACTGTATTCCAGGCAGCATTGCCACAGAGTACCAAGTTAATTTGTCCTTCCATGTCCTTTTCCCTGGTGCCTCATTTACATCACTGATCTTTTTTTCTCTTTCTACATTTATTATTGCTGCATAATAGTTGCACATAATGATGGGATTTGATGTTACATATTGGTAAATGCACACAATATAACAATATAATTTGACCAATTTTACTCCCCAGCATTTAACCCGTCCCTCCACTCCTCCCACCCCTTGGTCCATTTCTTCCACTGATTTCCCTTTGATTTTCATGAGATCCACCCCACTTTTGTTTGCTTTTTTCCTCTCTAGCTTCCACAAATGAGAGAAAACATATGACCCTTAACCTTCTGTGTTTGATTATTTCACTTAACATGATGGTCTCTAGTTCCATGCATTTTCCTGCAAATGCCATACTTTTGTTTTTCTTCATGGCTGAATAAAACTCCACTGTGTATAAATATACCACATTTTCTTTATCCTTCTATCCATTGAAGATACCTAGGCTGGTTCCATAGTTTGGCTGCTGTGAATTGTGCTGCTATAAACATGGGTATGCATGTATCACTGTAGTGTGATTACTTTAATTCTTCAGGGTAAATACTGAGGATTGCTATAGGTGGGTCATATGGTGGTTGCATGCTTAGTTTTTTGAGAACCTCCATACTGTTTTCCATAGTGGTTGTACTAGTTTACAGTTTCACCAACAGTTTTTCTCCACATCCTTTCTAACATTTATTATTACTTGTATTTTTTTTTTTACTTTACTAATAGGATATCTTTATTGCTGTTTTCATCTTCCTGGATTACCTTTTCTGGAAATTCATTTATTAAGTTATCAAAATTTAAAGGAATTTCATTTTCTCTTTTAGTACAAAAGAGCATCTTTTTACTATTATCTTAATTGTATATATTTATGGTGTTCAGTGTGATAATCTAACACTAAGATTTAAAGTTAGTAATAACCCGGTCAGGCTAGTTAGCATCTCCTTAAATTCCTTTGTTTTTGATTAAGACAGTAACTGTGCATTTGCGGTGGGCGGTTCTGACGGCACTATGTGTTCTGATCAAGTCGGGGTCATTAACGCTTCCCTCTGCTTCCCTCTCCTTACTTCCTGTTTTGGGGCTTGGAGGTCCTCTTCTGTTATTCCTAAGATATGCAAGGTATGGAGACTAGTCACCTGGTGTCCTGCAGAACACAGAACCTGGCACCCCGTCCCATGTTTTAGTTCTGATCATCTGCCACCTCCTCTTTCCTTCCCCAGCCTTTAGGAATTGCTGTCCTACATTCCGATACACTCTTTTCACCTTGTACCTATGAGAACACAACAGAACTTGTCCTTCCATGTCTGACATTTCAGGCACATTCAAGTGTGGAGGGCCTACCTTGCACCTGTGCCTCTGACATAATGTCCTCAGCACTGTCCAATTTCCTGCAAATGATGGAATGTCATTTTTTATGGCTGGATAATATTCCACTGTGCATACATACCATTTTCTTTGCCATCCTTTCATTGGTGGGCATCTGGGTTAATCCCACTTCTTGGCTATTGTGAATTGTGCAGCAATAAGCATGGGAATGTGGGTATCTCTTTGACAGGCTTTGTTTCCTTTGGATATACCCCCAAAGTGAGATTTCTGACTCATCCATAGGTCTATTTTTAGTGGTTTGAGGAGCCTTCATGCTGCCGTTTTCCACATCAGCTGCGCTAATTCACATTCCCGCCAATGGGGCAGGAGCATTCTCTGTCTCTGCCTCCTCGCCAGCGATTGGTATGCTCTCCTTGTGGTTTTGATCTGCACTTTCCCGATGATATTGAGGTTGAGCATTTTCTCATGAATTCGAGCAACTTCGCTTTCTGTTGATAGGATCGCAGGCAACCTCTCCTTTCACAGATGCAAGATCACAAGGAACTGTTGGTGATTTTTAATTTTGAAAGATTTTTCTGCTGATGCAACTGTTACCAAAACTGCTAAGAGCCTTTCATAGGTTGTGACCGCATTGGGATGAATTTCTGATAAATTACTTCAAGATATAAGGTTGAGCACAGCTAGAGCCGAGAGTTCTTGCAAAATGATTTTTCTAAAAATATGTAACTCTCTGTACAATTGAGTTTGTGTTAGCTTGGCTCTGATTTAAAATTCAAATTCTTTTTTTTAAAAAGAGAGAGAGAGAGGAGATTTTTTTTTTAATATTTATTTTTTAGTTATTGGCAGACACAACATCTTTGTTTGTATGTGGTGCTGAGGATGGAACCCGGGCCGCATGCCAGGCGAGTGCGCTACTGCTTGAGCCACATCCCCAGCCCTAAAATGCAGATTCTTACAGTGGTGTTTTAATGCTTCCCCTGAGCTTTGCTGTTACCTGGGCAGGAGGCACAAGGAACCAGGTGGCATCACTACTTGAATACCATTCCCGAAGTCGGGGTAGGCCTTAGATGGCTGTGTCTTAAGTGAACAGGAAGAGCTACCGCTAGCTGTCCCTCCTCTTTACTGGCCAGTCACCTCCCCAGGGCCACACACTGCAGCCACCACCTTGCTAGTGCTGCCCCCAGCAGCAGCCTGGGCCTAGGACTTGGCCCCGCCAACCCTGCTGCAGCCAGACTGTGTGGAGGGTCTACCTTGTACCTGTGCCTCTGACCATGTGTCCCTGCTGACAGGCACATCCTCTTGTACCACCAGGCGTCCTCACAAAGCACGGGTGCAAAGACACACTGGTTAGGAATGCCACGGGGGCCAGCAGAGCATCTGCTTCTCACTTCCTGCTCCCTCTGAGGGGAGTCCTGTGTGGCTCAGGCCTCCAGACTCATGGCTGGCCTCCAGCCTCGTGGCTAGCCCCCGCCACCAGGGACTGTGTGTTGAAACCCATGACGTCCTTCACCAGGGGTCCTGCAGACAGGCCCACCACCTGAGCCTGCCTGATCGGCCATGGCCACCTGACACAGGGCATGGAGGGGCCTCTGGCACAGTCCTCCTCACCTGTGCCAAACCCAGGGTCTGCCCTGCGGGACAGATCTCAGCCTGTGTCCCCTGTCCTCCAGCCCACCCCGCCCACTCTCAAAATCATCTTTACTCCTCTGATGGGTCCTGATCCAAGGCCTCCTCTCCTGCGCCTCTGCTCACTTTACTTTGTGGTTCGACTCCTCAGTGGAATCACAGTTGTCAGCATTCGGTGTGGTCAGCACTCAGCGTGGTCGGCACTACTTGTATTCTTGATGACTGCTATTCTGACTGGTGTGAGATGAAATATCAGTGTAGTTGATTTTCATTTTCTTAATTGCTAATGATGTTGGACATTTTCTATATATTTGTTGGCCATTTGTATTTCTTCTTTTGAGAAGTATCTGCTTAATTCATTTGTCCCTTTATTAATTGCATTATTTGATTTTCTAGTATTAAGTTGTTTTTTTTTAAATTTTTTAGTTGTAGTTGGACACAATGCCTTTATTTTTATTTATTTATCTTTATGTGGTGCTGAGGATTGGACCTAGGGCCTCGCACGTGCTAGGTGAGCACTCTACCG